CACCTGCTTCTTCCTGCCATGCTGCCAGATCAAATCCAACAAGGACAAAGAGACCAAGGTTTTCTACAGCATCACGGGGCAGGGAGCAGATACCATCCCCGTGGGTGTCTTCATCATCGAGCGGGAGACGGGGTGGCTGGAGGTGACAGAACCCCTGGACCGGGAGGAGAAGGATAAATACGTGGTGAGTGAGGGGGCATCTGTGGCAGGACGGGGACGGTCCTGGGCACTGCACACACACTGACTGTACCCTTCCAGCTCTACTCCCACGCCGTGTCAGCCAACGGGCAGCCCGTGGAAGACCCCATGGAGATCATCATCACCGTCACTGACCAGAATGACAACCGGCCCGTCTTCACCCAGCAAGTCTTTGTCGGCTACATTGAGGAGAACGCCAAGCCAGGTATGGGGGGTACTCTGAACTGGGACTGTGCAGAATTCTGAGCAGGAGCAGTGCCAGGGTGTCTGGTGGATCCTGACCTATCATTTAAATCTCCCTGGCTTGTCCCCATGTCCAGGCACATCTGTGATGACCGTGAATGCTACGGATGCAGATGATGCGATCAATGTGAACAATGGCATCATTGGCTACTCCATCCTCAGCGAGGAGCCCAAGGGTGCACAGCCGATGTTCACCATCAATGCCGAGAAGGGCATCATCAGTGTCATTGGCACAGGACTGGACCGAGAGGTGGGCACCTTGCCATGGACCAGGGCAACCTGCCGCTCCTCCACAGTGGGATGTGCCATGGGGAGAAAGGGATACTCAAGTCCTTAGGTCCATCTGGTTTTGAGTTGTGCCATCCCTGGGTCACTGTCTCTGGCTGTAGGGGTGTCTGCAGCCTTGAGTCCCCCAGGAGCTGTGCTGGGGACACTCTAGGGACCCCCAGACTTGCTGAGTGTGGAGTGGGTGCAGTGCCAGCCCCTCAGATACACAGCTGGAACATTGGCTGCCCGTGTGCCGGGAGGGAACAGTGCGGCTGGAGAAGAGTGGAGGAGCAGGCAGGTGATGCCTGGAGGAGGGGAATAACCCAGTCCCCACCCTAATCCTAACTGGGGTGATTTTGCCCTGCAGACCACTCCGAACTACACGCTGATCATCCAGGCTGCAGACCAGGAGGGCAATGGCCTGACCAACACCGCCACTGCCATCATCAAAGTCACTGATGCCAACGACAACCCTCCTGTCTTCGACCCCACCATGGTATCACCCAGCCCCAGCCGCTTCCCTCCAGGGGTATTGTGGCACGAGCCCCCACCTGGGGTGCCTGGGGCCACACAGGTGACTGTCCCTGTCCCATCTTGCAGTATGAGGATTCAGTGGATGAGAACGAGGTGGGGGTGCTGGTGACCCGGCTGTACGTGACAGACCAGGACCTGCCAGGCTCCCCAGCCTGGAACGCTGTCTACCGCATCCAGAGCGGGGACCCGCAGGGCAACTTTGAGATCACCACTGACCCCAAAACTAACGATGGGCTCCTGAAAACTGCCAAGGTGAGTCCTGCTGCTGCATGGCTGGCTCAGCACCAGTTGACTCCCTGCTGGCACTACCCGGCTTCTCTCCCACCCCCAGGGCCTCGATTATGAGACCCAGAACCGGTACAAGCTCGTGGTGTCAGTGCAAAACGAGGTCCCCTTCACCGTGAACATGACTCCTGCCACAGCCAATGTCCTGGTGGTGGTCAGGGATGTGAATGAAGCCCCCATCTTCATACCCCCGGTCAAGCGGGTGGAGGTGATGGAGGATGTGCCAGTGGGATACCATGTCACGTCCTACACAGCCCAGGACCCCGACAAGGAGCAGAGCCAGAAAATCACGTGAGTGGAGGGTGACAGTGGCCGGTGCTTTGCTGGGGTGTCTCATGGGCTGCGCTGCACTGTGCGCCCCTCCTCTCCCCCTGCTGACCCCTGGCTGCCCCCAGGTATCGCATGGGCAGTGACCCTGCAGGGTGGCTGGCCATTGACCCTGAGAATGGCATCGTCACGGCAGCCCACCCACTGGACCGGGAGTCGGCGCATGCCATCAACAGCACCTACAAGGCCATCGTCCTGGCTGTGGACAACGGTGAGGGTAGCCAAGTGCTGTCCCTGTGCCCACCTCCATGTCCCCCCATGGGGTCCAGGCCCCTCCCTGGGTGCCTTGCTGAATCTCAGTCCCACAGGGTCACCACAAGCTGCCACTGGCACGGGGACACTGCTCCTCCTGCTTCAGGATGTGAACGACAATGGGCCTGTGCCAGAGCCCCGGAGCTTTGACATCTGCAACCGGCAACCCGAGGAGCAGACCCTGACCATCATTGACAAGGACTTGCCCCCCAACACGTACCCTTTCAAGGCAGAGCTGATGCATGGCTCCAGCAGCAACTGGACTGTCAAGGTGATGTCAACAGGTAGGTGCCATCTGCTCTAGTGCTGGGCCCTGCAGTGAGTACTAGGTTGGGGACCTGCCACTGGCCCAAGTCCTGTGCCAGTGGCAAGGGTGTTCCCAAACCAGAGCTGGGAAAGGGGCTGGAGCACCAGGAGTGGCTGAGCGAGCTGGGGAGGTTCAGGAGGGACCATCTCACTCTCCACAACTCCCTGGCAGGAGGGTGCAGCCAGGTGAGAGTCAGGATCTGTCCTAAGGAATGGGACAATGGGAAACAACTTCGAGTTGTGCCAGAAGAGATTTAAGTTGGATATTGGGGAAAAATAATTTATGGAAAGGGTGGTCAGGCATTGGAACAGGCTGCCCAGGGCAGTGGTGGAGTCCCCATCCCTGGCGGGATTTAAGAGCTGTGTGAATGTGGCACTTGGGGAAATGGGTCAGTGGTGGCCTTGGCAGTGCTGATGGATGGCTGGACTCAATCTTGGAGACCTTTTCCAACGCAAATGATTCTGTGGTTCACCAAGACCAAGTGAAGCTGAAGATGAAGAAGGAGCTGGAGCCAGGCGAGTACAACATCTTCCTTAAGCTGCTGGATGGTCAGGGCAAGGAGCAGATCACGCCCGTGCGAGCCCAGGTCTGCAGCTGCGAGGGGCCAGCCAAGAACTGCGAGCGACGAGCATACATCTCTGGTGGCATGGGCGTGCCCGCCATCCTGGGCATCCTGGGGGGCATCCTGGCGCTGCTCAGTGAGTACCCGGGGACGAGGATGGGAGGGACAGAGTGCTGGTCACCCTCTCCCTGCTGCCCTGATACCCTATCCCTGTGCCTGCAGTTCTCCTGCTGCTGCTGCTGCTCTTTGTGAAGAGGAGGAAGGTGGTGAAGGAGCCGCTGCTCCCACCTGAGGATGACATGAGGGACAATGTGTACCACTATGACGAGGAGGGCGGTGGCGAGGAGGACCAGGTGGGATGGCTGTGTCTGCTGGACTTGGCTCACTAAGTGGTGGTGGTGGTGCCCATGGCTGTCCCTCGAGCCTTGCCTCCTCCTGTCCCTCCAGGACTATGACCTGAGCCAGCTGCACCGGGGGCTCGATGCCCGGCCCGAGGTGATCCGCAATGACGTGGCCCCTCCGCTCATGGCAGCCCCTCAGTACCGGCCTCGCCCTGCCAACCCCGACGAGATCGGGAACTTCATTGACGAGGTGAGTCCTAGCCCAGGGGGTGACACATCCCTGCCACACCAGCGCAGGAGACACAGGTACTGACCCCTCTGCTCCCCCAGAACCTGAAGGCGGCCGACACGGACCCCACAGCCCCTCCGTACGACTCGCTGCTGGTGTTCGACTACGAGGGCAGTGGCTCGGAGGCCACCTCGCTCAGCTCCCTCAACTCCTCTGCCTCCGACGGCGACCAGGACTACGACTACCTCAACGAATGGGGCGGCCGCTTCCGCAAGCTGGCCGAGCTCTATGGCGGCGGCGAGGAGGACGATTAGGGACCCCCAGCCTGCTGCTGCCACCTCATTTCACCCCTCTGGACTCACGTCGGTTTATGTCCGGGGTGGCCAAACTCCCTCCAACATCGCCTGAATCCTGTGCCCCCATCTCCCTCACTGAGAAAAGCTCAGGATCGCTGGGGATGGGGGGTTTTGGGGTAGTCTGGGTGTATCCTGGTCCCCTTGGCTCCAGGGCATGGAACAGTTTAGTCCATTCCCCATCCTGGAACTGAGGTGCTCCTAGCTGTGGGGGGCAGGATCAGGTCCTTCTTCCCTTTTCCATGGGGGAAAAAGGGTTTCTCTGGCGCTCTCCAAAATACCTCGTGCTCCCAGCCCCACATAGGCTCAGATCGTGAACCCAGTGATGGAGAAATGTGATGAGGCACTCGATCAACATACACCAAAGATGCATCATCACATGGAATTGTATTTACTACAGTATGTACAGCCAGATTTCTATTTTTCTGTATCCCCGATTATGGTTTGATTTCCTCCCGTGTTGTGTCAGCTGTAATTAGCGTGCGCTCATTTAAAGGTGCTTTCGAAAATCAAAGGGCTATCCCAAAATCCTGACCTCTGTGTTTAGCTGTCATCACGGTTTGTATTTTTTATCATGGGAAAAGGGTCTCACGCCAGCTGGGAAACCAGCAGTGGCTAAGTGTTGATTGCATGGTTTTTATATAAAATTGCAAAAATAAATTGTTTTAAGAAAACCAAACCACTTTTCTGTGTGTGAGGCAATCCCTTCCTCCAAGGCTTTACCTGCTGTGCCGGTGTGCCCATAGCCCTCCTCCACAGGACAACCGGGCAATCAGAATCATGGATTGGTTTGAGTTGGAAGAGACTTGAAGGATCATCCAACTCCCCTGGGACACCTTCCACTGTTCTAGGCTGCTTCAAGCCCCAGTGTCCAACCTGGTCTTGGACACTCCCAGGGAGGGGGCAGCCACAGGTTCTCTGGGCAAGTGCCAGGGCCTCATCACTCTTAAGTAAGCAGGATTCCTTCCCAATAACGCATCTGACGCTTCCCTGTGGCAGCGGCAAGCCTTTTCCCCGGTCCTGTCCTGTTCCTCCACCCCTCGTCCCCAGTCCCGCCCCGGCTCTCCGGCCGGTTTCTCCTCCCATTCCCGACCTCCCCAAGATGGCGCCCAGCAGCGCGGCCCCGCCCCTCACGCGCCCTCCCCACCATGGCGGCCGCCGCAGCCCCGCCCTTTCCCCTGACCTGCCCATGATGGCGGCGCTCGGTCACAGCAGTCCCGACATGGCGGGCGGCGCGCAGGCGGGCCCGGAGCCTGCCCGTGTAGTGGAGGCGCTGGAGCTGCTGCTCGGGCCGCCCAGTAATGGCGACAACGCTGCCGAGCCCGGCCCGGAGACCGCTCTGTGCCCGGAGACGCTGCGCAGGAACGCGGCGGCGCTGGAGGAGCGGCTGTCAGGGGCAGCGGGCTGGGCCGCGCTTCGCGAGCTTAGGGCGGCCGTGCTGTCCCGGGCGCCCGCGCTGGCGGCCGGGGTGGCGAGCACGGAGCCGGGCTGGGCGGCGGCCTGCGGGCTGCTGGCGCTGCTTCTGTGCCTCAAGGAGCGCCTGGCCGCGCTCGCCGCTTCCCCCTCCGCCACCCCCGCCGCTCCCGGGGCGCCGCCGCCGCCCGGCGCCGATACGCTAAGCGTGGGGCAGGAGCGGGCGGTGCGGCGGGCGGTGCGGGCCGCCGTGGGGCTGGGGCTGCTGCCGCACCTGCCTTCGGAGCTGGGGCCGGGGCCGGGGCCGGGGCCGGGGCTGGGGCCGCCGCCCAGCACTCGCGGGATCCGGTTGTTCGCCGTTGTGGCCGCGCTGGTCGAGCTGGCCCGGCTGCCGGCCCTGGGCGCCCCGCTGCTCGCCCGGCACCTCCGTCTGCTTCTGTTCGGGCTCTGCGGGCTGGGACACGGCCCCGCCGCCCTGTGCCAGGTCCGTTCGACACTCGCCGCCCGTGTTCCCGCTCCCCGGTGGTGCTGCGGGTTGAGCCGAGCCCCAGCCCGCTCCTCAGGCGGTCCCTCGCGCGTCCTGCCCGCCGTGCTCCATGTGACAGAATGAACGGGAGGCACGGAGGGGCTGCCGGGCACCGGCGCACCGCCGGCACCGGGGCTTTAGTGCCCAGCCAAGTGTTCTCAACAGCCCTGGTATGTTTTGTTCCAGGGTATTTCGGAAGCAGAGCGAGCGCAGTGCCGGGAAGCCCTGAGGGATATCCTGGACCGTGTTTACCAGCCGCTGGCGGTGCAGGAGCTGCTCGTCCTGCAGGGACAGCCTAAGCAGGTACCCGGAGCCATCCGCGGCACGGGGCTATCAGGGTTCCGTACCCCCGTGATTCCCACACTCCCAGGATGCCGCTCTTCTGGAAATCTCCTTGCACCTTAAAAACCAGTCCCGAGCGCTGGTGAGGCTGCCGGGTGTGCGCTGTTCAAGCCCTGCTGTGCAGGAGAGGAGTGTGGGTGTGTCAGGGACTGTCATCGCCGCACGTGCCACCTTGGCTTGGCACCGACATCTGCCGTGCCCGGCCAAGCACAGCCTCTGCTCCTCCAAACCTCACCCTTCTCACTCGAGGGATGACAAAGGGCACCTGCTGCTCTTTAGCGCTGTTCCAAAGCCTCCTGGGGAGGAGGAGATGGGGAATCTCTTAAGCATTATTTTAGAAAAGTCCCCATGGGATAATGCCCCTAATACAATAATAGAATTTCAGAAGGGAACCCAAAGTTCATGTCATACCACCCCCTACCATGGGCAGGGACACTTTGCACTATCCCAGGTTGCTCCAAACCCCATCCATCCTGGCCTTGGACCCTTCCAGAGATGGAATAGCATGCTAAGCACCTGAGGGCTGACCTCTCTCATTGATTCCTGATTTGCTTTATGCCACTGGATGAAGCAGCAATTGGCAGCCTGTGTCCTGTGCTGTCTGTCAGAGGATGGGCTGTTTGCCTAGAGGTGTGGTTGGCACAGGTGTGTGCAAGTACACTCTTTACCTTGCTCCTTTGCTCCCTTCCAGAGGTCTCTGGGTGCCAGGGCAGCTCCAGCCTGGCTGCGGCGGCTCTGTGGGCACCTGCTCTCCGAGAGGCTGCTGAGGCCTGGCGGGGTGCAGGCCGTGGTTCGGGGTATCTTGGAGGGCACAGACGGTGAGTGTGGGGCTCTGGGTGCAAGCATCACAGATTCAGAGGTGTCTTGGGACACTTCATCCCATGAGAGGCCCAGAAGAGCAGAGACACAAGAGCTAGACTTAAAAACTGGCTTATGCTAGGCTGAGGTGACATGGTGACACACAGACTTAGCCTCTGACTGCACTGAGCTCTCAAACTGCTCTAATTTGGGATACACATGTGTTTGAGGGCCACACTGACAGGGGTCACGCCTCGTGTGTGTCCAGAGTGGGATCAGTCCTGGGCAATGCAGTGTCCCAGTGCCAGTGTGGTGGGAGCTGTGCTGAGCACTGGGCTGTGCGAGCTGTAGGGTCAGTGACACCCATCCCATCTCCTGCTCTCCATGTCCTACCAGGGAGGGAAGCTGTTCTTCCCACAGTTTTTAGTGCCAAAATCTCGTCCAGCCAACTCCAATCATCCAAGCAGAACCTCTCCCCACCTATTGGCTCACCCACCTGGCTGTAGGAGTTTTTTCCATTATCAGAGTTCTTGCACAGCAATTTTCCCCTTTCTATTCTTAAGTTCAGGTGTCTCCTGAACAATTGTTGGTTTAACAAGAACTCAAAAGCCAATTTTTGGCTAGGAACACCTGGCTTCAGCCAGAGCTGGCCATGTTTTGAAGCTGACCTGGGATTTCTGCTGCTGTTATAGGTGGTGCTAGTGCTGAAGCAGCAGCTTTGGACTGGAGAAAGTGTGATGCAGTTGGGAAGATCCTGGCTGCCTGCCCACAGCAGTGCCTGTCCCTCGAGGACTACTACAGACAGGTGTGCCCCCAGGTAAGTCCCTGCTCCCCTCTGCTGGGGAATGCAGAGCCAGCTCCCGTCTTGGAGAGTGCTGGGGCTGCTCCTTTTACTTCAGTGTAGCCTGGCTCAAGCCAGCACAACGTGGACATGTTTTTCTGGCAGTAGGACCTTTCCACTCTTGAATTTTCCATGTTTTATTGAAATGCTGGATGATGTTGTCTGATCACACGAGCACTGTGCTACACAGAGCTCTGTGTGTAGCTCTTGCTTCCAGCCTTTGGCTCTGGGAGTGGTGCAGGCTCCTGTTTTGAGCCCAGAAAGGTGTCCTGTGTGAGTGGGAAGGACACTGGCTCATCCACACGTGGAATGCCACGTCAGCTGCCCAGCAAAGCAGCACATGGGCAGCTCCTTGGTTGCTGCGAGGCGCCAGGCCCCCTATGATGGAGTGCTGATCCTTGTTTCTTTTTCCTTGCAGATTCTGGACTTGCTGCACATCCAGGACAAAGTGGCAGCACGGCAGTTCCAGCGTGTGGCCACCACCACGCTGCTCACCATGGCCAGGGAGCAGCCACAGCTGGCAGAGAAGCACCTGCTCCAGCCCCTGCTGGCACCGCTCCGTCGCTGCTCCGAGGCTGCAGGTACCTGGGGAGGGGTCTGGTTTTGCTCCTCACTGGTTTTTGTCATTCCATCTGAATTTTCTCAGGCTGGCAGCCAGGCTGTGGAGTGTGGGAGCTCAGCTTTCTGTGCTGACCCTGTCAGTTTGTCTGGGTACACTGTATTTACCCCTACTTGAGTCCAGTTACTGCAGTGTGGGAGCTGAACAGTTTGGTTCTGCCCAGTGCTCCTTGGGAACCTCTCCCAGTCTGATATCCTTGTTCTGGACTTCCAGACGGAAGCCGTTGGTTCCCCACACTGACCAGCAGCTCTCTGGGGAGTCATCCATCTTGGAGTTGTGGTCTGTGTTGATTTCCATGTGTCCTTGGGGGTTTACAACACTGCAGCACAATTAGTACAGCTAATGAGGGCTGGTCTGTTCCCATGGGGAGGGAAGGGAGCTGTGGAAGTGCTTTTGGGTGCAGAGAATGATGAGGCAGTTCTGCTGCTGGGGGCTCTGGCCTGTTTTGAGGGGCTCATGTCTCTGCCTTTTGCTTTCAGAGCTGGCACTGGAGGATCTGACAGCAGGGGCTGTGCTGGTGCCAGAGGCAGAGCTGGGCAGCTGTGTGGAAGATGTGCTCAAGGTACCATGTCTGCTTTGGGTAGGAAAAAGAGCTGGTTTGAGACCTGGTGAGCAGTTGACTGTGTCCTCTTGCAGTTGGAAGTTACTGCTCCTTGTCCTGTCACTCCAGGTCCTTGTTCAAAGTCCCTCTCCAGCCCTCTGGGAGCCCCCTTAGATGCTGTAAGGAGCTCTAAGCTTTCCCTGGAGCACAGATCTTGTTTCTGGCATTTGGGAGATTGGTGAGGTCCATCCTTGTGCTTCCTGTGAAGGATAAGGGCTTTTTATGGAGGTCTCTCCTGTGACACCTTCTCTCATAACTCCATTTCCTACCATTCCCACCAGTAACCCCAGTGCCACGCTGCAGGCTCCAGCAGCTTCCTGCTGCGTGTTCCAACCCAGAAGGACATCTCCAGTCCAGGAATTCAAATTTCAGAAGCTGGTGACTTGCTTCCTGGCATGCCCCGAGGCAGGCTAAGCTCTTAAATGCTGGGATTGTTGTCAATTTTCCCAGTAATGATCTGTTGTAACTGGCTGGCAGGCAGAGACGGGTCTGGAGGGCTGCTCCCTCCCAGAGCAGTGCTGGGGGGGTTGGGGTGGGTCCCTCCTTAATGGCAGAGCGCTGGGGGCCTGACAGCAGCCAGATTAGTGAGGGGATCCCAGGTTTGGGGGGGATTCTTGCCTAGCAAGTGTCATTTGATCCTTAGTGAGAAAACATCTTTGGGGCTTCATCGGGAGGCTTTGTGTACACAAGGGTCTGGGGAGGAGGAATGGCTCCGTCGGGATTAGCACAGGGAATCAGGTCTGTGTGCATCAGTGGAGCAGGGCAGGGCCCCTGGGGACCACTTCTCAGCCTCTTGGGAGGGTACTAGATGAGGTGGAGGATAGGAGCAGGGCTCTGCAATCACCCCTGAGCCCCTCCAACCCCCCCAAGAGCCTCTACAGCATCCCCAGAGCCCTTGCAATATCCCCAGAACACCAACAGCATTCCCAGAGCCTCTGAATTCCCCCCAGAGCAGCCTCAACTCAGCACCCCCTAGCCCAGCTTCCCTGCTAGTGACTGATCTCTGTGTTTGAGATTTACATTAATTCAACGAAGATTTGCTCATTCCAGAGAGCCTGTTACATCCCTGGGTAAGGCAGGACCTTACTCCTAAGCAGCAGACTTCCCAAATAGCTGGCTGCAACCTTCCTGTAGCTTGGAGCCCTGCTGTGGTTAAGCAAATTGTTGGAGAAAGAAGGTGCTGAAGGCAGATTTTAATAGGGAATGTGGCATAATCAGGGAAGACAGCCTCCAGACTGAAGGAAGAGGCTGAGAACCTTCCACCATCATCCCTGATAGCTGCCCTGTGCACGGACGTGTTCCTGAATCCCCTCTGCCCCACGCAGGTGTTTGACTCCCCTCCCTGTGCTCCTCTCCGTAGGTGTATGTGGTTGGGAATGACAGCTCGAGCCTGCTGCTGGGATCCTTACAGTCAGTCCTGGGAGTGGTTTTTTCCCTCTATTCCTTCGCCAAGCAGAATGTGTCATACTTACGGTAAGGGAGGATTTGTACTCAGCTTCTGCTGGGGTTTCATGTGCTGGGCTCTGCCCACCTCCAACAGCCACGCTCAGGGCACAGGCAGGAGCAGAGATTCATCTTCTCATCCCAGAGCACTCTCATTCCAAGCAGGCAGTAACCACAGGCAGGGCACACGACCTCATTGGCAGCCCTTGCCTGAGGAAGCCATTCTCATGTTAGTTTTTGTCTTCCCTGAAGCCAGAATGTTCTGTGTAGAGTGAGCATGCCCTTGGGAGCACAGGGTGGCTCTGCCTAGAATAGGGATTGTGGTTGTCCAGGGATGGAGGTAGTGATGCTGGAAACTGGATGGAGTAATCTACAAATAGCATAAAAACTGGACAAACAGTTTAAGCACTGCCTCTTGAAAGTATAGGATCATTCTGCAATCTGGGATCACTCTCTTCTGGTACAATCAGGACCTGCCTCCTGGCAGATGATCCCCCATACCGTGCCCAGCTCCCCATGACTGGTGTACAGTGGTAAGCACCGCATGTGCCAGTTCTGGCAGGGACAGAGGTGACCAGGTGCTGGCTGTCCTCTCCTTGCTCCCCCAGGCTTTCCCTGGAGTTTTTTAGCCTGGTGAAAACATTCCTGGTGGGGTTACACAGTGCTCTGGTGATCCTGGCGTGTGGAGGCTTTCCCTAAAAGGTGTGTGTAGACACGGCCTCTGCTGTTACTAAAGGCCTCGTTAATCACTTCAAAGAGCAGTGAGTGCCGTGACAAGTTGGTGGAACGTGCCAAGTTCACGCTGCTGCTGGGCCAGCAGTCCCTGCTTCCTTTGCTAAAGAACTTGGCAGGGATGACTGAACCCATGGCTGCCTGGGAGTGTTCAGGTTTCCAGACCCCTGGCACAGCCCAGCGCAGCTGCTTCACCTCATTAACCTGCTTCTTTCCTTGGCAGGGCTCCCTGTGCCACCTCAGTGCTCCCATCTCCTTCCTCCTCTCCCTTGGCACTGCTACCAGCCCTTGTCACCTCGGCATGAGGCACAGGCAGGGCGTGCCAGGGGTGTTCACAGTGCTTCCTTGCCAGCCTGAAGTGTGGAGGAACCCAAATCCTTCCATCTGGGAACGCCAGAAGGGCAGGATGTGCTGCTGATCCCTTTAGAAACAGGCGCAAATGCTTTCAGCTGCCAGAGCCAGGAACTGGAGCATCCCAAGAAGAGCCTGTGGCTGCTCCAGAGCACTCCAGTCATGTCCCTCATCCCAAAGTGTGTGCAGGGAAGGTGCAGTGGGCAGAGCAGTGTCACCACTGGCTCCTTTCTCCTTGACAGCTCCCCGTGCCAGGACATCCTGCTGTGGTTCCTGGAGAAGGCAGAACGGGAGCAGTCCCTGGCTGTGCTGAAAGGCCTGGCCAGGCTGAGCAGCCACGTGCCCACCCTTCACCCTCAGTGCCAGCTCCGTGTGGGCAGCGAGGGCGGTGCTGCCATTGTCCTGGAGGAAGCCACCAGGTGAGTGCTGTGGGACAGTACCATGGGTCATTCAGCAGCCAGGGCTTTCCATGGAAGGCTGCAGAGAGCCTGGGCGAGCAGGGAGCTGCCAGTGCCATCCCACAGGGTCTCATCCCCTCGAGCTCAGGCTGGTGATGCTTCCACACAGCCCACAGAGCCAACACAGCCCCCATGGTGCAAAAGCTCTGACTTCCAGCCCTGAAAAGTATCACACTCCACCTGAGCATTGGTGTGCACTCCCTGCCTGCTTTTCCTGACTCCTGAGCCCTGCCAGCCCAGTGTCTGGGAATGGGATGTGCATTCTCAATCTCAGCACCCCCCAAATTCGGCTTCCAATCTCCAGCCCGAGCCTGTCCGGTGTCACAGTGAGCAGAGTCCCTCGGGCACAGGTGGCACAGCCACAGCACAGACTGTGGCAGTGCCAGCGTCGCAGAGCAGCCACGGAGCTCCTCTGGTGTGGGCAGATGGTCTCTAAGTAGAGGCAGAGCTGACCATGCTGGGAATTAACTGCAGCTTTTAGTCTCCAGCCATGCAGGTCAGGATGTCCCGCTGGGATATCCAGGAGACATCCATCCATTTAAACCCTGGAGGCTGGATTTAAAGAAAGGGGATGTGAGCTGGTACACGGGCCCAGGGCAGCACTGTGGGGCAGGCAGAGGCACAGCTGTGCCCAGGGGTGTGCTGGGAGCACCTGCAGCAAAATCCCCACAAGTACATTTGGTTTGGCTTCTTTTCAAGCTATTCCTGACCTGAGTTAGAACTACAGGCTGGTTTGGGTTGGAAAAGATCTTAAAGCTCATCTTGCTCCACCCCCTGCCATAGGCAGGGACACCTTCCATTATCCCAGGTTGCTCCAAGTCCCATACAACCTGATCTTGAACACTTCCAAGGATATGGCAGCCACAGCTTCTCTAGGCACCCTGTGCCAGGGCCTCACCACCCTCACAGGGAAGAATTCCTTCCCATTATCCCATCTAACCCACCTTTGGTCAGGGGGAAGCCATTCTCCCTTGTCCTGTCACTCCATGCTTGTTCACAGTCCCTCTCCAGCTTTCTTACAAACTCTGTTCAGGTACTGGAAGGCCAGAAATAGCAGCAGATCTGCCTTGCTTAAACTGGGACTACTTTAAACTTGTTCCATACTGGCCCTGGCTCTGCCCATGCCCCTGCTGCCACGGCTCTGACCATTGCCTAACTTAGCTAGCTCTAATCCTGTTATTTATGGGCTGGATTAAATGTATGTTTTGGGCTCATGGTTTCTCTTAATGAGTGCAGGTTAGTTAATAAGCAGAGCCCAAATGACCTGGGCAATGTTTGGCTCAGCTGCCTCCAGGCTCTGCTGGGAAGTGCTGGGAAGGAAGACTTCCAGGGAAATGCAGACTGGGATTTCACCATGCCCTGGAGTCTGGGGGTCAGGCGGTACTGGGTGTGTTGGTGATACAGTGACTTGTTCCAGCGATGAAGATGAAGCCCTGTACCAGAAGATCTCCTTGGAGCAGTGCCATGTAGAGAGCTTGGTGGAGCTCCTGTCCCACTGCCAGAAGAGTGGTCTGGCTGGAGACTTCTTCATCCACTGCCTGAAGGTGAGGGCAGCCAGTCCCAACCAGGGACATACCTGTGGGAAGGGGTTCCCTGGACAAGCAGAAGCCAAAAGAGGGATCGTCCCCCTGTGTGTTCTGGGGTATGGCACGTGCTGGAGCAGCCTTGTGTGCTGGGTGGGAAGCCAAGGAGTGGGAGCAGCCCTGTCCCTGAAGGAGTTAACCCTCATCCTCCCCCTGGGCTGTTTTAACAACAGAAGCATGTCTGAAGTGTGTTGGAGGCTGGGAATAATCCCTGTTGCTTCCTTGGCTGTAGAAGAGGGGCCCCATACCTGCTCCCTTTGATCTCACTTGGAGCCCCCCACGGTTCCCTCCAGGCTTGGGTTGGACTGGGATTTTGTGCCCAGCCCCAGGAGAGGATAGGGATGGGACACCCAGGAGCTGTGGACAGCTCTCAGAAACCTTCATCTAGCAGCTGGAAGGTGGTGGTGGTGTGAGGAGTCATCTGGCATTCCTGGCACTGGTTCCCGGTGTTTAACCGCTGCCTCTCCGTGCCCTGCGCTCCCTTCCCGGCAGGAGCTGACTCAGGTGGCTGCGGAGGATGAGGCAGCTCCAAACCCAGCTGTGCAGCCTGCAGGGAGTTTGTTGGAGCTGGAGCAGTCCCAGGCCAGGCAGGGGAGGAAGCTGCTGGTCCTGCAGCTCGTGGCTGCGCTGTGTGAGGGCGTCTCCGACACCGTGTTCACTGACATTGTGCAGGTTGGTCGTGGCAAAGCCCGGGGGGATCAGCTGAATGCTTCCAGGAGCAAAGGCTGAAGGAGCTGGGATTGCTCAGCCTGGGGAAGAGAAGGGTCCCGAGTGACCTCTAGAGAGATTTCCAGTGCCTAAAGGTGCTCCAAGAGAGCAGGAGAATTACTTTGTACTAGGGCTTGGAGTGACAGGACAGGGAATGGTTTCCCCCTGATAGAGGGCAGGGTTAAAAGGGATACAGTGAAGAAATTCCTCCCTGTGAGGATGGTGAGGCCGGTGAGGCCCTGGCACAGGTTGCCCAGAGAAGCTGTGGCTGTGCCATCCCTGGAAGTGCCCAAGGCCATGTTGCATGGGAGCAACTTGGTTGGCATAACTGTGCTCCTACATTCATGCATGGGCAGTGCCAAGTTTATTAAATATTGTAATTTCAAAGGCCACTGGTCCCCTTGACCCTGGTCCCAAATAGGATTGTTAAAATTTTTCCCCCTGAGCCCACCCTGGAGGGGGTTGGCTGTGTTGGTTGGGAAGGCAGCTGGACACTGAGGGCAGCACGCCATTCCCTTCTGGATCCCCTGCAGATGCGGTGGCTTTTGACTTCCTCATCCTGTTTTTTATTGCTGTTTTTTCCCCCAGTGCCCCAGCCATGCCAGCTCCCCGTGCTGCCATGCTCAGGCAGGTTTCCTCACATTTCCTTTGGGACAAAGGAGCCTTTGTGTGCTCAGCAGCAGAGGGGACACAGCCAGCGGCGCTTTGTCCCCACCTGCCTCCCCATCACACCCACCCACCGAGGCCGGAGAGCCTGGCTGGGGAATGGGGAAGAGTTTTGCCAGGTTTCACGGTCCAGCCAGGAGTCTGGGATAAAAACCCACCACCAAAGAAATCCAGACAAAAAATCCATTATCCTCCTGCCTGGGGTTGTGTTTCAGGGAGGCCCCGGGCTGGGACAGGGACAGGCTTTGAGCAGGTTCTGCACTGTGGGGTTCCCTGGGGCGTTTGGGGGGCCCTAATGGGGTGGGAACAAGTGGGATCCATCCTTCCAAAGCTGGAGCCCAGGAGCAGCAGCCGCTGTGCCCCCCCCAACTGCACATTTATTTTATTTACATATTTTCCTCCATCACCAAGGTCAACTTGATTTCCTCACTGCACCAAGGATTCTCTCCTCCTCCTGCCTGAGACACAACTGTGCCCCAGTGTTTTATTTTTCAGTTTTTTCCCTCCCACTTTAAAATGTTTTCTTTTCTAGATTTTTTTTTTAAGTTTTAAATTTTCTCAGTTGTAATCTACTGTTATTCATTCACAATTTTCCTTTTTTTAATATTAAATATAACTTTAACCCCTCCAGATTATGTGTCATTGTGTTGTGAGGGTAAATATTCCAATTTTTTTTTACTTACTTGCTATTTGATGGAATTTCTTCTCTGGAATAATTATCCCAGAAGCTACCTGAGCCTTTTATGCAGCCTTTTCCAAAGCCTTTTTGCACAGCCTCCCTCCCTGCTTAAGGGATGTCCTTAAGGAATCTGGCAGCTGAGGAGGAAATGCTGCGTGCACCCAATGCCCTGGGGGTGGAAGTTTGGAATTTGGTGCAATAGGACCTTGTTGCCCTCTTACTTTGTTTTCTGAAATAGGAAAACAATAGTTCCTCCTCTTTTGCAACACACCTGTTAGGTAGCAATGACCCTGATCCAAACCCATCCCAGGCTTGTCTGGGAGCAGATAAGGCATGGAGAACATCAACTCCCTAATTTCAAGATCTGTTAGGAAGGCAGAAAGCCTGTGGGATCAAAGGTGTTGGTGCCAAGTGTGGAGAAGGCCAATGCCAGCCAGGCAGAATCGTTACATGTGGAATAAAAATATTGTGGGAAACATCACAAAGTAAGTGAGAACACAGGAAATGTCCCAAGTGGAGTATCAGCTGTGCAGGATAAGGGGGAGGCTCGTGTGGAGAATTGTGGACAGGGGCTGGACCTTCTTGGCTCTGGAATTTCTAAGCCTTTACCTCGGGCTATTCCATACAGACCCACCTTGAGCTTCCCTTTGGGACTATCCCAAAGCTTCCATCCCATGGTGGATCCAGGCAGGAGGCGGGGATGGAGCTGGGATCCCTCTGTTCTTCCAGCTCCACGGGGGCTTCTGCTGCTGAGACCCCACCAGTTTAACCATCACCTCGTCCCAGTTGTGGACGTGACTTGGCTGAGCCCACGCTGGGGTTGGGGTGGCAGCAACAGGAGGAAAATGGGAAGGGTTTCACAGAATTAAAAGGGAGTCACTGGGATCATTGAGTCCTGCACAGACACCCCAACAATCCCACCCTGTGCTTCCCTGAGAGCGTTGTTGAAGCAATCCTTGAATTTGGAGAACTGTGTGGGTTGGGGATACCCAGCTGGGAGCAGAGGCAGCAGGAGCTGCCGGGGAGGTGTTTTGGGGTGTCCCTGCTCCTGATGGCTGTTCCCTCGGCAGGTGCAGGAGTTCCTGGCAGCCGTGCTGCACCGAGCCTGTGCCCACCCTGCGCAGGGCCCCGGCGCAGCGGCCGAGGCTCAGACCCTCGCCATGGCCATGGGGCTCGTGGCCGCCGTGCTCGGCGGGGCCGTCCAGGTGAGGGGTGAACCTGGGGCCTTGGTGGGTGTGGGGTGAAGGGCTGGGCACTGCCATGCCCAGCTGAGGTGCTGCAGCACAGCTGGATGCCCTGGCTCAGAGTCCCTACTCAGTCACAGCCTCTAAATAAATATTTAGAGATATATATAAGTTTTTTCCTTGAGGCATTGCCAGGGTGATGACCAAGGATTTAATCTGAGCAGGGCACCCCTGAGAGCCCAATTAACTAATTTATAATCTCTCCTAAAAGGGCACTGACAGAGCAGTGCAGTCACATACAGCACCTTTAAATACCAGCACTGCACCCTCTGCATCCCCACATGGTCACAAACTCTGGCTGCAGAGCATTGTGAACTTCTTACGTGGGCTGTACCCTTGAAAATCCCCTTATATTTTTATATTTACATTTTATACATATTTATATTGTTATTTATATCTCTCAGGTACTTGTAATACCTATATATATATATGAGCTCTGTGTCACTCAGTGGAACTGCCATGGGGAACAGTGGCACATCCATTAACGTGCTGCCATCACTGAGCTGCTGGGGTTGCTTCATCCCTGGATTTGCCCTCAGGAAAATGTAGCTGTTAACAGAAAAAGATCATTTATTGTCTCTTATTGCTTAATTTCAAACACTGGGAAAAGAACAGTAGTTGAAGAGAAGTTAAAGCCAGAGTCTTGTGGCTGTGATGGACCCCTCCTCCTCCCACTTTTGTGTTAATGGGAGTGACATAAATTGGAAAACGGAATGTGAAAGGTTTTGGAAGCAGCTGCAGAACTGCTTGGGTTTCAGCAGGCGAAGGGTTTTATGCAATCATCCAAAATCTCTGCTAAAGCACCCTTTTTCAGGCCTCACATCCCACATGTTAGCAGTTAAATCCAGGTTAGGGCAGGAGCTTCTCAAGCTCAGGACAGGTCATGACTGCTGTGCTGGACTTCCAGGCAAGACTGATGGCAAGTCTGGCACAGTGCTGGTGGGAGGGATGTCCCTGGCTTTGTCCCCATACCCGGACACTGTTGTTCTTCAGGTTCATGTGCTTCCCACCTTCTCCTGTGGCTGCTGCCAGGGCTGGGATTGACGCTGGGCTGAGAGGAGCTCATGGTGCCTGGAGCCCAACTCAAGAGCTGGGGATCGGGCTCTGGGGCTCCTCCCCACCATGCCCACCCTCCTGGGAGCATCCCAGGGAGTGAACCCTCATTCCGCTGGTGCCAGCGCTGCTCTTCTCCCTCCACAGCTCAAATCCAGCGATTTTGCGGTGCTGAAGCGGCTGGTGCCGCTGCTGGAGGAGCTGTCCCGCACCTACCCCGACCCCCTGACCCAGGAGCTGGCCTCGGACCTGCGCATCGCCATCTGCACCCACGGCGCCTGCTCCCCTGGCACGGTGGGCTCTGCTGCCGACAGCGTGCTGGGCAGGAAGCCTGGCATGGCAGCACAGAGCCCTGCTGGCCCTCCTGGCACAGCCCCCAGCCCCTCGGCTCCCAGGGAGAGGAGCAAAGGGCAGAGCAGGTGCCGTGAGCCCAGTGCCTCCAGTGCCTCTCCAGCTCCATGTGCTGACAGCCTGGACCCTGCTGGGCTCCAGGAGCTGCTGGTGTCAGCCTACGACCCCCAGCCCCCCAGCCGGGCAGCTGCCCTGCGCCACCTCGCCAGCCTCGTCACCCAGCGGGATCCAGAGGCACTTCGGCTTCAGGAGAAGCTACTGCAGGTACCAGGCTCCTGCTGTGGTCCCTGTCCCTTGCCTTGGTCCCTGTCCCCTGCTGTGTCCCACACCAGCAGAGCTGGTGCTGAATGCACCATTGGACTGGAGATGGGCACAATTTTGGAGCCCTCTGGCCTGGCTGGCCCAGCTCAGGGTCACTGCTGATGGCACTTTCCTTCCTTCCAGGTGTTTCTGGAGAATGTGCAGCACGAGGATGCCTTTGTCTACCTCTCAGCTATCCAAGGTGAGCAGTGCCTGTCAGGGCGAGTGCCAGCACTTTGTCGGGGAAGCTTTTGTGCTGTGGGAGCTCTGGGCACTGGGAATGAAGAGCAGGAGAGCCATGGCCAGGTTGAGGGTTTGGCATCTCCTGCCCTCCCAGATTGTGGCTTTGTGCTGTTCCATCAGGCCTAGGGCCACATTTGGGCTGCATACTGAGTTCCTGGAGCTGGAGACTTCATCTCCTAATTATTCTTACTCCCTGGAGCTGGTCACCATCCCTGTGCAAGGTCTGGGGCTGCAGTTCCAGTACAGCATGGGCACAGCCCCAGCACCCCAGCCTGGCACCCACGAAGGGCTCTGTTCAGCTGAGGTTAGCAGAGGAGCAGAACCAGGGGGACCCACTGGTGCTCCCTCAGGGCTCTGCTAAGGTGGCAACTCCTGAGTACTCACACCCCTTCCCAGGAAACCCTCAGGTCAGTGCTTGCTCCAGCACGCTCAGCACAGCCCCACAGCACCGGGCTGCCCATGGCATCTGCAGGAAGGTGCTTCCCCCCGGGTGACGTGCGTGCCCCGTGTGACAATGTCCCAATGTGTCACAGTCCCCTGGGTTCCCTGGAAGGGACGTGCCATTCATTCCCTTGGCCCACAGCGATGCTGGCACTGCTGCTGTTGGGTTGGTAACCTTTGGCAGCAGCTGGGAAAGGAGCTGATGCTGTGCTTCCCGCTGCCTGTACGGTCTTGAGAGGGACGGGTCTGTCCTTGCCCGCGGCTGGAGCACAAAGGCTGTACCCGTCCCGGTGATTAATGCGCCGCTGCAGCTGCTGCACGTTTGGCAGAGATTAACCCTGCTGCGGTTCCTCGCTGCACTAACTCACCCGGCTCGTGGCAGGGCACCTGTGCCATGTTGAGCTGTGCCGTGCCAAGCACAGGGCTGGGGGCCATGCCAGATGGGTCCCCATATCCCACTTGCCCCCTGTCACAGCAGCAGGGCTGGGGCTGAGCTGTTGTGGCACTGTTGGATTTCATGGAGCCAGACTCCAGTGATGTATTCCTGATGGACAGGACATGACACCTGGAATCCTGGGGTCAGGTTTGGGCCCCTCGTGACAAGACAGTCATTGAGGGGCTGCAGTGTGTTCAAGGGAGGGCACTGGAGCTAGAGAAGGGTCTGATCCCTGCGTCTGGGATCTGATCTTTCATCAGGGAGATGCAGCAGGCATGCAGCACGTACTGGCTCCTGCTCCCAGTCTGGGCCAGGCAAATCTGGCAGGGATACAGACATGCTGGCACAATGTTCTGATTGCCAAGAGCTGGGAGCAGTGACCAGACTCTGTGCCCAAGCATTGGCTGCAGTGCTCAGCTGCCCTCAGTGCAGCAAGTCCCCACTGGGTCAAAGGGCATCACCCAGCAGCAGCGAACTTAACTGCCAACTGCTAAATTACTGATTTTCCAGTTTTTCTCCCCTCCAGGCATTGCCCTGCTCTCCAGTGAGTATCCAGAGCGGATTCTGCCCGTCCTGCTGGCACAGTACGAGCGCCCAGCACAGGGCACGGAGGATGCCATGGCTGCTGTCACCAGGATGAAGCTGGGCGAGGTGCTGATGCGTGTCACCCGGGCGCTGGGTGAGTCCATGGCCGTGGGCATGGCAGGGCCCACTGCCAGCAGCCACAGCACTGCTCCACCATTACCGGGGGAGAGCCCACAGGGGACTTCTGTTGTCAGAAGGTGGGAAGGGTCCAAAAGCTGAAGAGAAGCTGGCTGGTGTTTGCCAGCAGCAGGAGCAGGATGACAGGTCCTGCCAGGAGCCCACCATCCCCTCGGTCAGCAGCACTGGGCTTGGCGACTGCCGGGAAGCGCCCGGACACGCTGGGCTGAGAGGTAGAAGCTGGATGAGCCTTTCCGGCATCTGCTGTTGGGACATGTCCTAAAATACCTTGTCTGACTCTGTGAAGGAGGCCTGGCCAGCGGGAGCACACAGCCGGAGCTGTGCATTGCCAGGGAGGTGGCAGCCGGTGTCCTCAGTGCTGGGGCAGCCAGGCAGAGTTCCCTGGTCACCGGGTGGGTGCTGTGTGCCTTGCCTGGGGATGCCCCTGAAGAGCCAGGCCCCCCTGAACCCCAGGACTGTGACTCTCCTGTGCCACATTTCCTGGCACCAGTGGCATCCCTGGGCTCTGCCAGCTGTGCCATCCCATCAGTGCCATGCTGTGCCATCATCCATCCTCTCTGCTGGAATGGGGACAGGACGCCCCACTGTGTCCTGTGTGGCTCCAGCGATCAGCTCAGAGCCCCTCGGTCCCGGACCTCCCCGGGCAATGTCCGTGTGTCTGGCCCAGTGCAGTTTGCCCTGGCAGCTGCCCTGGGGATGGTGGCAGCAGGTTTCCCAGCTGCCCTGGGGATGGTGGCACGTTCTCCACCGTGCTCTCCCCGCTCGTTGTGGTGCCGCTGCCGCGGGCAGCTGCTCCGGCGCGTCCCGGCTCGCCAGCGTATTTATAGAACAAATTGCACCAAGTTGTTTCTGTTGCAAAGCTTCAGCATCTGAGAACAAGCATTTACCCAGCGCTTCCAGGATGGCTCCACAGCCCTCTGTGATTCTGAGCTCTCCTGCTCTGCCAAGAGATTATCATGCCTCCTTCCTGCTCTGTGCCTATCCCTGTTTTCTGTCCCACTGGAGCAGCTTTCCCTACCTAGGAGGGGAAAGGAATGTTGCACACTCCTGTAGCCATCTGGCACAGGGGCTGGTGCACTGCTGCAGGGGATCCTACTCGGATCACCCTGCACTGCTCATACTGCTGGAATTCCAAGTCCTGGGATGCAGGCACAGAGCAGGATACGTTCCCAGCAAGTACTTGGCATCATAGGGATGATCCAACCCTTCACATGGGAGTTGCAGGGCTCATTCCCTGTGCTCCCCCACCCTGTGCCAGCCCCCAGCCCTGAGCCCCCACATGCAGGGTGCTGGGAACCTTCCACTGCCCACAAGGATCATTCCTGTCTCCACACCCTGGGGCATCCGAATGCATCCATCTCACTGCCAAGACACCATTGTCTGAGGAGCTTTCAGAGCTTGAGAGAGCTGGAAAAACATAGAACTCACAGGCCAGCTGGCCTTCTGGAGCTTTCTTTCCACCCCTCAAGGCCCTGCCTGGTAGGAGGTGTGTCCACACCGTGGGGCACACAACTGCACAGCTGCTGTGAGATGACCACACTCCTGGGATGCTTGTGGATGCTGAGCACGGGCCTGAGCTCTCATTAGCAGCTCACACGTCCACAGCACCTCTGTGTGCTAATTGGGGCAGGGGATTGGGTCTGGATGATGTGGGAACTTGAGATTCACACTTGGTGTGTTTGCAGGACCATGAGTGACCCCATGGGAGGACAGGAATGTGCCAAAGAGCCCCAAGGTCTGTGCTACGGGGTGTGTGCTGAGGGACACAAGCCACACTCCAGATGTTACATCCAGCTGTTCAGTGGTGTTGCAAGGCAGATGCCCAACCCATCTGTTCCCAAAGGAGCCAGGGCTTTGGCAGGAAGGGTGGGGCCTTTCCATGCTGGTGACACAGGGCTCTGCTCTCCCTTGCAGGGGACATGGTGTTCCAGCACCGGGAGCCGCTGATTCGGGCCTTCCTGCGAGGTGCCCGGGATCCCGACAGTGCCCTGAGGGCCAGCAGCCTCTCCAACCTGGGCGAGCTCTGCCAGCACCTCGGCTTCCAGCTGGGATCCATCATCCAGGAGGTACCAGCTCCATCCTTCCCTGACACTGCCTGGGGAGCGTGGCCTCTCCTTAACGAGCGCATTTGTTAGCACATGGTTGGGCTGCTGAGGACATGGAAATGAGACATTTCTATATGGAAACGGGGCATTTCCATAAAGGACACGAGTGATAATTGGTGATACTGTGGAGTGTAAAAGTCGTGGGGCCTGAAGCAAACACTAGGGAGGTTCTAGCCCTGATTTTTAGGTGCCTTCTCCACCCATGGCAGCCACTGCCAGAGGAGACCTGGGGACACAAGTGGTGCCTGCCAGAGGCACCTCCCGCTTAATGATACCTTGTTACCCTCCCGTTATCTTAATTATCATTATCAGTATCATCAGTATCACGGCGCTGGCCCTCACCTGCCCCGGCTGCAGGCTGTGGGTGAGATACAGCTCGGGAGCTGCTGGGAGATCACAGTGGGGTGAGCCCAACTCCCAGCGGCCCTGGAGCCGATGGGTCTGTGCCCCGGGGAGCCAGAGCTTCACCCCCTCGTGCTCCTGGAGTGAGACATCCTGGATTTGGCACTCGGGCTGCTCCCCTCGGCTCTCACTCAGCACTGTGGATCCCAGCAGTTGATGTGATGCCAGTGAGCCACACGCTGCTATTTTGGGAAGGTGCGAGCTCTGCTAATTCTCCCGGCTGTCACTGCCGGGATTTAATTAAATTCCTTTGGCTCTGCCTGATTTTCATACAGACTGTTATACAGCTTCCTGAGGCATCCATGTGGCCTGGCCCTGGTGGGAGCTGCTCGGAGCCCACACTCCACAGGGCATGGGAGTCCCATCTTCATTCTTGGGACATTGCCAGCACCTCAGTGGCCGCTCCAATGGGATCCCCTGCATCTCTCAGTCCTTGATGATACCCCCCTGCCCTGTCCCCACAGGTCACCTGCTGTGTGACGGCCATAGCTCGGACAGACCCTGAGGCTGAAGTGCGAAGAGCCGCTGTGCACGTGGTGGTGGTGCTGCTACGAGGGCTGAGTGAGAAGGTCACTGAGGTGGGTCACCCCCTGCTTGTCCCCGAGGCAGGAACAGCCCCCAAGGGGCTCCTGGGCATCTCCTGGGGAGAGCCTCTGCTCTATAGGGCTTGCAGGGCTCATTCCCAAGCAGCTTCCAGGGAAGGTCCCAAGGGACTGAGATGCCCAGTTTGGCCATCTCCCACTAAAGGGTTCTCTCAACAGATCCTGGGGAAAGGGAGGTTTGTGAGAGTGTCCTCTGAGCTGCTGGGCTGTCCCACGGGCAGTGCTACACCATGCTGGGGGCAGTGCCAGCTGTTGGGAGCCGTGGGAGTTGTTCATTGCTGATTTGACTTGGAAATGCCCAGTCTTTCCACCACTGTGGCCTCCCTCCGCAGTTCCCAGTAACAAGCGTGTTGGGACTCAGCTCCCGTGGAGGAAACAGCCAGTTCCCCACGGGAATCCCCGCAGCCAGGATCCCAGCATGCCCTGCTGCCCCTGTGCTGAAGGATCACCACAATGTACTGCTGGCTGTGGGGAAACTGAGTCACTGAGGGGGTCCGAGGCTGCGGCCGGCGGTGGCCGTGGTTGGTGCTGGGCCGGGGGAAGGGAAGGGGCAGCCCCGCGCCTGCCGGGACTCACGGGGGGGCAAGGGCGGTGCGGGCGAGGCTCGGCGGTGCTGACGCTGCCCCTGCCCCTGCCCGCCGTGCCCAGGTGCTGCAGGACGTGCTGCGGGACCTGTACCGCCTGCTGAAGCACGTGGTGACGGCCGAGCGCGACGCCGCGACGGTGCTGCACGCACAGCTGGCCCTGGAGGAGCTGGACACCGCCGTGAGGAGGGTCCTGTTCCCCCCACAGACGCTGGAGAAGAAGATCGTGGTGCTGCCATAGTGGGGCTGAGCCCGTGGAAATGAACTGTTCCTGCTCAGGGCTGGTGGCTCCCCGAGGGAAGGGCTCGCTGTGCCCTCCAGGATGCTGCTGGCGGTGTCGGATGGTGGGGGGGAAACCTCGCTGGAACGAGGTGTGGGATTAAACAGAGACATCTCAGCCCTGTGTCTGTGATGTCTGTGAGGCCACGTGAAGCTCACAGGTGCCGTCATGGTCTTGTCCCAAACCCCGAGTCCTGTGGAAGGGTGGGCATCACCCCCAGGGTGAGCCCTGAGTTGGGAAAGCAGCTGGCAGGGCCACTGCTTCAGGCTTCTTGTGGCTAGGCAGCACCGAATGTGTGTCTGTCCCCGAGGGGAGTCAGGAGGGAGAGGGGCTCTGCTGTTTGCACCCACAGAGTGAAATTCCATGGCCCCTCCTTGGCACTGTACTCACACCACAAGGGTGGTGAAGGAAGGGTCCAGGGGCTCGTTCACCACAGGGTCTGAGGATGGGCCCCTCTGGTGTGAGACCAAGAGCCCCTCCATGCTGAGGAGAGGCTGAGAAACCCTACAGAGTACCTGTCTGGAACCACCATTCACCACCATGTGCTCAGGGATACTCCAACATCAGAATCATCTCCTCCCTCCAGACGGGACAGTCTCCATGAGTGCTGCAGCACCATGGGCCCCATTCCTGCACCGGGAGCTGCTGCATACCCACAGTGTGGGGGGAGCAGAGTCCTCAGAGACCCAGCTTGGTGGCCCCCTCGTTCCCCTGGCACCAGGCAGCCCAGCCCCAGCATGCACAGCCCAAGGGCACATTTCCTAGCTGTCCTGTGTCCTGCCAAATGGGGCGGGGGTCCTGCACCCTCCTTCCCTGCAAGGTTGGGAGTCCTGGCCATGTCCCCACCCTGCCATGTCTTGCTGTGTGTGCACAAGCAGCAGGAGCTCATTCTCCTCACCCCAAGAGTGGATGGCCAAGCACTCATCACTCCTGGCACTGGTGTTGGATCACAGGCACACCTGTACCAGTTGTGCCTGTCCAGGGCCTTCTGTGAATGGCAGAGGAGGAATTTGGAATGAAAAATCTATTGATTTGATGAACTGGCTGGGCACGGTCCAGCCATCCTGCCTCCAGGAGCAAGAATGTGTGCAGCCGTCCTGCCTCTGGGAGAAAGGCAGCAGCTGTGCCAGAGGTAAAGAGAGTTTGGTTTCCACCTGGAGCAGCCACAGGCACAGCAAAAAGCTGTGAAGGCACAGGGAGGGCTGCAGACACGCTGCCCCTGTCCCCTGTCCCAGCACTGTAGTGATGGCACAGGCACAGCTGTGCCAGTCTGGCCTCGCTTTGCTGGGTTTCAGCCCCACCGTGGCTCTGTGGGAGCCCTGCTGGCGGTGCTGATGGTCCTGGCATGTCCCTGTCGCATCCGTGGGCTCACCGGTTCCTCACCACTTACTCCAGGCTCTGGGAGAGCTCCCAGATAACATTACCACAGTGCCGAGGGTGGCAGCGAGGGGGATCCGCCTGCACAGGGTGCTCCTGCTGCAGGGATCCCCTTTCCCAGCTCCTGGTGCTTGGAGTCTCCCGGCCCAATCCCGGCATTTCCTCGCACCCAGCTCCCAGCACAGCAGGACACGATTGTGGTGAGAAACCCAAAAGTGCTGAATTTGAGCCCCGAGTCGAGGCTGTGCCTCCTGCAGACTCAGAATGGCCCTCCAGGAGCTGTTTGTCCCTTGCTATCCGGCCGGCACAGAGACAAAGCGCTGCTGTTCCCGGGATGACCCTGGTCCTGTCCCGGCGCCCACCGGCCACGGGGACACGGGTGGTTTATGCCGTGGAGGGACACGGTGACACAGGAAGGTGACACGTGGGTGTCATGAGAGGGGCCCCAAGAGCGGGGCGGGGGAAATGGAGTGGCCGGTCCCTGCCCCGTGGCTCTGCCGGTGCCCGCGGCGTCTGATGCCGGTGCCGGGTGCTGGTGATGCCGGTTCCGGTGCAGCACCGGAGCCGCTGCCAGTGCTGCCGGTATAGCGGCTGTGCCGTCACGCCTGTGATGGTGCCAGTGCCGGTGCAGCACTGGTGTCGCTGATGCCGCCGGTGCTGCCGGTGCCGGTCATCACTCCCGCAGTGCGGGGCTGGGGCCGGTGCCAGGTACTGCCGGTGCGGGGCGGGTTCCCGGGCTTTGCGGGCGGAGCTGGAGCCGGTGCCGGTGCTGGTGCCGGGGGCGGTGCCGGCAGTGCCGGTGCCGGTGCCGGTGCCGGGCGGGGCCCCCGCGGGCTGCGGGCGGTGCCGGCCCCGCCGCGGTATAAAGGGGCCGCACGGGCCGGGCCGGGCGCACAGCGGCGGCGGCGGGTGGGGATCGGCGGTACCACCACCGGCACCTCCACGGTGAGTCCCGGTCCTTCTTTCTCCCTCCCGGCTCCGCTGGTGCCGGCTCGGGGTGCCCCCGCGGTGCTGCGAGACCGGCAGCACAGGAGGCGGCGGGGCCGGGGGTAACGGGCAGTCGGGAGCGCCGGGGGCTGCGGGACCGGGAGGAGCCAGGAGCGCCGGAGGCTGCGGGACCGGGGGGAAGCCGGAGGGGGCTGCCCGGGAGGTGCCGCCGGGGGTCCCTGGGGCTGGCTCTGCGCCCTGCCCGCACCCCCGCACGTGTTCGTGCAGCCCCGACCTGCCCGCAGCCCCTGCCCGCGTCCCGGTGCAGCTCCGCAGTCCCGTCCTGCCCGCGCTGCTCGTCCCATCCCGCAGCGGGGTGGGGGTCTGGCCGCTGCCATCCCCGCAGCCGGGGGTCCCACCGCACGCGCTCGGGGTGGAGGAGGGCTCTGGGCGGCCGTGATTTCCCCGGGGACACCCTGGTCCCTGACATCTCCGTGCCCTTCCCTGTCCTCCAGCCCAGCCATCGCCCGCGAGCAGCCGTGCTCCTGCTCGGGTGGATGAGGGGTGCTGGCACTGTGCGCAGTGGGGTACTTGGCACCCCTACACCTCACCTGGCACCACACACAGTGGGGTGTAGGGGACCCCCGCACCTCCTCTGGCCCCATGGAGGCACTGGGAAGGTGTCACCTCCCAAACCAGCGACCGGTGAGCGACAGGGTGGCCGTGGGACGGCAGAAGAGCAGAGCCACCCCGCTTTTGCCTTCTGGGTGACCTGACGGAGTGGATGTCCCCCTGCCCTGATGGTGCCCCGTGTCTCCCCAGATGCCAGGGAGCCTCTCCACGGCCCTGCGTGTCGTGGGGACCAGCCTCTTCGCCGTGGCGGTGCTGGGGGGAATCCTGGCCGCCTACGTCACAGGGTACCAGTTCATCCACACGGAGAAGCACTACCTCTCCTTCGGGCTCTACGGGGCCATCCTGGGGCTGCACCTCTTCATCCAGAGCCTCTTCGCTTTCCTGGAGCACCGGCGCATGCGGGGCGAGGGGCAGCCGGTGCGGCCGGGGCGCTCGGTGGCTCTCTGCATCGCCGCCTTCCAGGAGGATCCCGACTACCTGACGAAGTGCCTGCGCTCCGTCAAGCGCATCGCCTTCCCCGACCTCAAAGTGGTGATGGTAGTGGACGGGAATGGCCCCGACGACACCTACATGCTGGACATCTTCCACGACGTGATGGGCTCCGAGCGCTCTGGCAGCTACGTCTGGAGGAGCAACTTCCACGCGCAGGGCGAGGGGGAGACGGAGGCCGGGCTGCGGGAAGGGCTGGCCCGTGTTCAGGAACTGGTCCGCAGCAACACTTACTCCTGCATCCTCCAGAAGTGGGGCGGGAAGCGGGAGGTGATGTACACGGCCTTCCGGGCGCTTGGAGACTCCGTGGACTATATCCAGGTGCATGCATGTACTGGGGGGATGTGGGCAGTGAGTGTCCTGCCTGCGTGGCCGGGCAGGGGGCTGTGGGTGGAACGGGAGCAGCCCCGGGAATCCTCAGTAGCGCCTGGGTGCCTGGCACTAATCTGGCCCGGTGCACTGGCCATGAGCTACCAGGGCTGGGGGCGACTGGCACTGGGGTGGCTGAGGTGTTGAGCTCTGCCCACACTGCTGCCCATGGGTGTCCCATCACCTCCTCAGCACATGGTGTCATCCCGTGGCACAGTGTGGCACAGGGTGCTACGTCCCCACTCGTGGTGACTGGGACAGGTCCTACCTCAGTGCCAGCAGCCAGAGCTGGGTATCCTAGGCAGCGGTGCCCCGGTACCACCGGGTGCTCCGCTCCCTGCCATCGCCTGCCGGTCTCCGGGGCTCTGCCTGGTCTCGCCGTCCGTGGCTCAGGCTTGCCTGGCTGTGGGCTGGGCTGTCTGCCGGGCGCGCGTGGGCGGCGGGAGCGGGGCTCGACATTCCCTCTGCCCCCAGGTGTGTGACTCAGACACGGTGCTGGACCCCGCCTGCACCGCCGAGATGCTCCGCATCCTGGAGGCCGACCCCCATGTCGGTGGCGTCGGCGGCGATGTCCAGGTACCCTGGCATGAGGGAGGGTGCCCCGGGGCGGCGAGGCGAGGGCAGGGCTGGGGGTCCTGGGGGGCTGCAGCACTGCCGGGGCTCACATCCATCCCATCCCCTCCCCAGATCCTGAACAAGTACGACTCGTGGCTCTCCTTCCTGAGCAGCGTGCGGTACTGGATGGCCTTCAACGTGGAGCGCGCGTGCCAGTCGTACTTCGGGTGCGTGCAGTGCATCAGCGGCCCCCTGGGCATGTACCGCAACGCGCTGCTGCAGCAGTTCCTCGAGGACTGGTACCACCAGACCTTCCTGGGCAGCAAGTGCAGCTTCGGGGACGACCGGCACCTCACCAACCGCGTGCTCAGCCTGGGCTACCGGACCAAGTACACGGCTCGCTCCAAGTGCCTGACGGAGACGCCCACGAGGTACCTGCGCTGGCTCAACCAGCAGACCCGCTGGAGCAAGTCCTACTTCCGCGAGTGGCTCTACAACGCACTCTGGTTCCACAAGCATCACCTCTGGATGACCTACGAGTCGGTGGTCACGGGCTTCTTCCCCTTCTTCCTCATTGCCACCGTCATCCAGCTCTTCTACCGCGGCCGCGTCTGGAACATCCTCCTGTTCCTGCTGACGGTGCAGCTGGTGGGTGTCATCAAGGCCACCTACGCCTGCTTCCTGCGTGGCAATGCTGAGATGATCTTCATGTCCCTCTATGCCCTCCTCTACATGTCCAGCCTGCTGCCCGCCAAAATCTTCGCCATTGCCACCATCAACAAGTCGGGCTGGGGCACTTCGGGGCGCCGCACCATCGTGGTGAACTTTGTGGGGCTGCTGCCGGTGTCGGTGTGGGTGGCGGTGCTGCTGGGCGGGCTGGCCTACACCGCCTACAGCCAGGACCTCTTCAGCGAGACCGAGGTGGCCTTCCTCGTCTCAGGTGCCATCCTCTATGCCTGCTACTGGGTGGCCCTGCTCACCCTCTACCTGGCCATCGTCGCCCGCCGCTGCGGCAAGAGGCAGGAGCAGTGTGGGCTGGTCTTCACTGAGGTGTGACCGTGGGGTGGTCCCGTGACAGGGTCATCCCATGTGCCATGGCAATCCAATGCGTCAGGGGAACCACCCCCCACCCCCTCTTCCCCATGCCAGAACCACCAGGTGCTGGGGTGATCCCACATGCTGGATTGAACACCCCCAGTCCCCTTTTTCCCAATCCCGGAGATGCTGGGCAGCGCTGAGCGCTCCCAACCCTTGGCATTTCTAATCAGATCTTGAAATCTTGCTTTTTTCCTTTATTAAGATGTACATTTTACCTATATTTTCATTTTTCCATCCCAAGCTGGCCACAGAGAAGCCGAGCGAGGGCTGCTCGTCACCCAGCCAGGTGCTGCCAGCTACATCCCAGCTGTGCCCTATGGAGCATCCTGGTGTGGAGCGCTGCTGGCCGCGCTCCCCACACCCCACTCCAGAATTTTCCACCCTCCGGTGCTTTTTACAGGGATTTCAGTCCCACCTCCATGGTGCTACAGCACTTCCCACCCCCAGGACACACAGTCTCCGTCCAGCACGGTGCCAGCACTGCTGGCTGGTGCTGCCTCTGCCCCACGGCTGCGTGCGGGCACGTACCCACGGGGAGCCCCCCAGGCCTTTTGGGGGGTCTGGCTGCTTCAGGAGGGCAGCAGGGTCCTTCAGCTTTGCCAAAGAGCCAAGGGGGCGATCCTGGCATGGAGAAACTGGGAAAACTGAGGGGCTGTGTTGCTGGAGATCCTTTGGGGCCATGTCACGGCTCTGGCCAACCCACAGCCCCATCACTCCCAGCTCACTGTCTTCCCAACAGGGGGAAGATGGGGATTTTAGGCAAGGTGCTTCCCAACTTTCCCCTCCCCAAGGAATTCACCTGTGGGTCCTTTTTTCGGGACTTGGAAAAAAACCCCTTTCTATGACGGAGCTTTTAGCTGGTTTTTGTTTAATTTAATACAAGGTTTTTTAGAAGACTTTTGTAGCTCTTTGGTATTGTCGCAGATGGTTTGTAAATCTATTTATTTTTGAACCTGCCAGGGGGATTTTTTTCCATATTTCGGGCGGAAAAAGCTGGTTTTTATATCCTGATGGAGTTGTGGAAATAAAGACTTGAAGTGAGGATACATGGTGTGTTTTGGGGATGGTCCCTGGTCCCCGGTCCCCCTGCCCGATTTGAAGGAGGTTGGTCTTGAATCCCTGCGTGGCACTCGTGTCCCTACAGCTGCAGAGAGAGTATAGGAGACATCACCACACTCCATGGATCCCTGGGACCTGCTGGACACTGTGGGTAGCCCCTGGGCTGGAACACACCTGCCCAGGATCACCCTGGGGTGATCCACAGGGTCTGTGGCCAAGAACTTGGTTGCTCTCTGAAAAGAGTCATTTTAGGGGAGACAAGCAACCCAGGAAGGGTTCTGGGTGCTCAGACACAGGACACAGCAGCCCCAGAGTCCCCTGTGCAGGACAGGGATGAGGTCCTGGATCTCCCCTGGTCCCTGCTGCTCTTTGCAGCAGCAGATCACAGTTCAAAGCCCACATCCTTCCCCTCAGACCTTCTTGGGCACGTGGGTGATGATGGGCTTGGGGCGGGTTTTGAAGAGCAGTTTGGTTTTGATGAGGGCAGTAACGGTGTAGTGGCCATGGGGCCCTGTGGGGCTGGGCTGGGTAGCTCCTCCCTGCTTCACCAGCACAGCAAACGGCTTCTCCAGCTGCACCACTTTCCCATAGAGGATGTGGTGACCCACGATGAGCACGGGGACGCCCTGAGGAGAGCAGAGGGTGAGGCTGGGCTGGACTGCCCCCAGCAGATCCCGGTGGTGTCTGTCCTCACCTCACAGGTGTAGTGCAGGTCTCCCAGCAGCCTCCCAGCCAGGTCCCCGCTCTGCCGGGGCTGCACCTCGCCCTGCAGCTCCACCAGCACCCACTGTGCCAGGGCCCCAGTGCCACCGCTGTGGGACAGATGGGGACGGTCACCGAGGCTCCAGCTGGCACAGGGGCCACGGGGACCAGACCCATGGGGCTCACCTGGAGATGACGATCTGCACCATGCTGGGCTCTGCCAGGGGCTGCAGAGACACAGTCAGGGCAGGGGGAGTGGGCAGGGGAACAGGAGCCCTTGGCCCTTCCCTTCTGGGGGCCCTAGGACGAACTTCTGCCCCTGGGCCCCACAGACCCTCCCATAGACCCTGTTCTGGGCCCACAGATCCTGAGATCCATGTCCCCAGCTCCTATAGAATCCCCCAAGGCCCTCCAGCCCCCCCTGAACCCCACGGATCCCCAAACCCAGATCTCCTCGTAGCGGGTCCTGCTGCCCCCACAGCCCCCCAAGATCCAGCCCCAAGCACCCCCATCCCCTCCCCGCGCCCCAGAGCCCCCCTTGCCCAAATACCACCCCTAGACCCAGCCCCCCCTACGGGCCCTGCAGCCTCCCCCAGATCCCTGCCCTGGACACCCCAGACTCCTGGGCCCGGATCTCTTCCGTGGCCCCCCCGGGCCCTGCGCCCCCCGTGCCGCCGCCCGGTGGCGCCGGTGCCCTCCAGCGGCGCCGGTGCCGCGGGGACGGCCCGGAGCGGCCCGGCCGGGTCTATCGGGGCCAGATCCCTCCCGCCTGCACCGTGCGCTCGCCCCGGGCCGCGCCCCGGCCCCGCCGCTCCGGCCCCGCTCCCGCACCCGCCGCCGGCAGCGCCCGAATCTCCCGCCGCGCCGCCGCTTCCGCTTCCGGTGCCGCGCGGGCCCCGGGGCAGCTCCGGTTCCGGCGCGCCGCGCGCACGTGGGGCGGAGCGGGGCCGGGACCGGCACCGGGACCGGCACCGGAGCGGCGGCAGGGCCGGCGGAGCGCGATGGGCGAGTTCGAGGTGCACCGGGTGCGGTTCTTCGGGCTGGTACCGGCGGGCGTGCGCTGCCTCGCCTGCCACCCCCGCGACCCCCGCCTGGCCCTGGCCCGCACCGACGGCGCCGTCGAGGTGTACAACTTCGCTGCCAACTACTTCCAGGAGAAGGTGAGGGGCCGTACCGGGTTGTACCGGGCTTTATCGAACTTGTACCGGGCACGTACCGTGCTTACATGGTCCCCCCGATCGGCACCGAGCCTGTACTGGGCCTCTACCGAGCTTAGCCGGGCCGTACCGAGCCGGGACCAGGCTTTCCTTGGTCCTGCGGATCCGTACCGGGCTTGTACTGGGCCTGTGTCGAGCCTCACCGAGGCTGTACCGGGCTTTATGTGACCCTGCTGATCCGTACCGAGTGGTACTGGTCCGTGCCGTGGTATGACCCGGTCCCCGCACAGGTGATCCCCGGGCACGAGTTGCGGTCGGTGGAGTCGCTGTGCTGGGCGGCCGGGGACCGGCTGTTCGGGGCCGGGCTCAGCGGAGACATCACCGAGTACGATCTGTCCGGGCTGAGCGTGGCCCGCAGCATCGATGGCGGCGGGGGACCCATCTGGAGCATGGTGGCCAACAGCACCGGCACGCAGCTGGCGGTGAGTCCACCCGGGAGCGGCTCCGGGGCGGGGGGAGAGGGTCCTGCTGTGCCCCGCGCTGATCCCGACCCCCGCAGATCGGCTGCGAGGATGGCTCTGTTAAGATCTTCCAAGTCGTTCCTGGAGGGATCCAGTTTGAACGGAACCTGGACAGGCGGAAAGGTGGGTCCTGGCTGCAGCACCATCCCTCTGTCTCGCTGGGCGTCCCGGTGACTGAGGGGCTGTGAGCCCACGGGCTCTCACACGGAGCTTCCCTTCCCAGGCCGTGTCTTGTGCCTGTCCTGGCACCCCTCGGACAGTCACATCGTGGCTGGCTCCATCGATTTCTTCCGTGTGATTGACGTCACTTCAGGTACCTCCTGTCCCAAGAGCAG